ATCTTTTGTTATGTTCACGTATTAAACTGAGACGATGCGCATCAAAGTTTTAGTGGAAAAAAAAGTTTCAAACAGTCCTCATCTCTGCAGCGCTGACGCACACCTGCTAAACACAGCTCAGTTGTGCAGCGCGAGAGAGAACAAAATGACGGAGACGTGCGAAGTGAAAGTGCAGAAAAGCAGTGTCTATTTCGTGCACAACTTCAACAAACTACAACAGGTAAAGCTGTCAGCTGTGTGGATATTGGCAATATCGTTAACAATTCTCATTTATAATCATTAATAATATGGCTTCTTCTTATCAAGATCTTAGTCTATGTTGTGTTCTGTTAATGCGTGAACTTCATATTATTTGAAGCGCATTGCCGAACCCATTTAATCTTTCTCTTACTATAGTACATAATGAACATGGATTGACATCAAAAGGTAGGCTATTTTATAAGAGAGCCTACAGTACAACTTACTGAAATGTCTCATGTAAAAGCTCATTCAGTGTTTCAAACTGCGGAAAACGTGTAAAGCTTGTAAACATTGTAACGTAATACCTCAGAATAACCATTCGGTGTCCATAAGCTCATCAGTAAGCTAGAAAAATAACCATAAAGAGGAGCATTTTGCTATATTTATGTGCTATTGCATATCAATATTTTTACTAAACCTGTTGTCTACATGATTCAACTCATATAAAATTGCATTTTACTAATTAAGAAAAACAGACTGAAAGTATGAAAGACTCTTAAAAATAAAGGGGATTTAAAAGGTTCTTCACAGCGATGCCACAGAAGAACCATTTTTGGTTCCACAAAGAACCATTCAGTCAAAGGTTCTTAAAAGAACCACCTCTTTCTCAACTTTTTATAATCTGAAGAACCTTCCTTATTTCTTTGCGTGAACATTTGGGCGGCGTTATGCAAATCTTCCCACATACACTCTTAAAAATAAAGGTGCTTAAAAGGTTCTTCACAGAACCATTTTTGGTTCCACAAAGAACCATTCAGTCAAAGGTTCTTAAAATAACCACCTCTTTCTCAACTTTTTATAATCTGAAGAACCTTCTTTCGCCACAAAGAACCTTTTGTGAAACGTAAAGGTTCTTCAGATGTTAAAGGTTCTTTATGAAACCAATTAGACAAAAAAGGTTCTTATATGGCATCATGAAGCACCTTTATTTTTAAGAGTGTATGACAACATTTACAGGATGCATTGAGGAGGAGCCCAAACTACACTCAGTGGCCAAGTAATGCTTATGGTCCATGATTGGTACAGATTCTGTTTAATGAACAATTCTTTGTGACAGGGCTGGAAATTTTACTGCTGATTACAGAACTGGCATTACTATCAAAATGCGCATGACAATCGCATTCGATTAATTGTGCAGCCCTACTTTGTGACTCTATATTTCAAGTTGGAAAAGACATTTAGTTCCCACTTTAAGTGAACCTTAGTTCCCAGGTCATCTACAAGATGGATTAAAATGCTGATAAAGTCAAGAAAAGATGAGACATAAACACATGACAGTATGATTGAAATGTTGAAATGTAAAAAAAAAATTATAATAATAAAATAAATAAAACGCGTTTATTCTGTGGAACCTAAAAAAGATAATTTGGCGCCTAAGTTTTTTTCTTATAGGAGCCCAATGGCTCCTTACTCTAATTTTTTGTCTGGAGGCCTGCGTTGAGAAGGATTGGAGCTCAGTCATGACATTGACATTTCCCAAACTATGAGAAAAAGCATCTATTGTCTCCTTGGTTCATTAGCTGGAACAAAACGTCCAGGTCTGGTGAATCACCGCTGAATGCAAAATGACTGAGCAATGACTTAACACAAGATTCACATTACTCTGCAAGATTGCCATAAATGAGAGGTATGAGGGATGGGGGGATTCTTAATAACTAGTTCAATCAATAAATATAAATACATTTATATTTCATTTTATAAATATATTAAATATATAAATAAATTCATTCTTTGCTGGCCTTGAAAACAGACCTGTAAATTATAAGTAATAATGAAGTCTTTAAAAAGTGCACGTTAATTCAATGGTCTTAATAATAGTAAACGTATCAATATAACAGGAGACTGTGAGGAAGGAATGACAAATAATTGTAAAATATTGTCTGTAGCCTGACAGTCGATATTAGAGTATCAGAGCTGATATATAGGCCTAAGCGTTCTACATCCATCATCTTGAATCATAGTTTTCCAACCTTGTCAGACAGAAACTTGTCTACTTTATCTACAATTACACGCAGCCTAAGAATCCATTAAACTGAATATTAGCTCAATATGTTAAAAAAAAGCCTCTGTAAACACCTAAATTGGAGAAAAAAAGATTGGGATAATCAAATGAAATTTATATCCAATTAAAAGTGGTTGAATAACAATAGAAAGATAAATACCATATCTTTCAAACAGATTATATTTAAGACTCAAAAATACTTTGAAGATATTTAAGAGAGAGATTTTTGTGCACATACGCTCATCCAGAGATTTCTAGTTATTGGAAAACGTGGCTAATATTTAAGCAAGACAGAATTGGGACAGAATTATTGTCTTTTCAAGTAACAAACAGGTTATCATGCACGTCTTTAGTCAGCTGACTCAGCTGCTTTCCCAGCATTGCTTGCTTCATATTTTATTGGTATTTTGGTAGTGTTGACACCACATGCTGCTCATTTCTCATGCAAATGTGTATTTACTAAACTGCAGAGTTTAAACTAAATATACATAAACAGTACATTCAAAATCTAATATTGCAGTGAATTGAATTTGCATATAAAATTGTGCATATAAACAGTCATTAGTAAATTATTTTAAACGAATATGACCACTTTAAAATAGTGACACAGAAAGACTATCATCTCAGGAGAGGGTATGTATAAAGACTGATGGAGAATGAAGGCCAGAAAGTCAGGAATGTTTCCGAAGAGCCAAATCACAACCGGCTGATTAAACTTTAAGCTCCACCGGATGATCATAATAGCAACAAGTACACGGTTACACAATGTCCCATTTAATAGGGGTAAAAGGAACAGAGTCCTATGGATCCAAACAGAACATTACAACAGCCCACCCAGACTATCCGATCTGAGCGGGAGGTATCGTGCTTGCAAATGAACAAAGAGTTTGCGAACACATACATGTGCGCACAAACAAACAGATGAGCTATTTACTCACCAAGTACCACTGCTGTGCAAACTTCGGATCAGCCGGCTCATAGTAAATATCCCTCTTCTTTCTTTGTTTCACCACCTGCTGTTCCGCCCACATTACCTTGAGAAACAAACAAACAAACAGTCGTTTGACATATGAGAAGTACTTGTGTCCAAGGTTTGCTTTCCATCAGATCCAGAATGAGTCATTTTTTAATGAAAATCAATGGATCATTAGCAGCAATAATAACAGCACCAAATCTGTGTGATGCAATTAAACATGGGTTAAAATATGTGAAACTTCATTCAAAAAGCATTTATCTTCTGTAACGTGACATATTTGTGTGAAACAATATTCAGTTTCACTAATTATATGAAAACTGAATTATAAGAATGTAGGGCAGGATTTGACTTTATTGCTTAATATAATTTTTCCCAGACCATGAAGCCTTGGTAATGTCAGCAGAATGTAAGAAAGTTAATACATTTTGACGAAAGAATAACAAGTAATGATGACATTTGCACAATAGATTATAGTAAATATGGTCGATTTTGATTTCATGCGCTGACTGACGAAAGCTGCTGACGGACACACACTGTCTTGTTTTCTGTCTCCTCACAATCCTCCTCCACTCAACTCAAAGACAGAGAGGTCTGTTGAAAGACGGGAAGCTGTTTCTCTAGGGCAGCGACTGCTGCAGCGGGGCAGAAAATGCAGACGGTGGCAGATTACGTGATTGACAGCTCAGCGCTGCTCATGCCAGAGCTCACTGCTCACTGTCTAGAATGACTTTTAGTGGATGAAATGGACAGACATGTGACAGGAAAGTGAAGTGAGTGGTCAGAAGAAGAATGACGGGCCAGTTGGGATGTTCACAGCCGTGAAGAACAACCAAGAATTTGACCCACCACTCAACGTCCCTCAAGGTCATGCTGCCATGACGAAATTTACCAGCAAATCATCATATACTTGACAGCAATGCACTATATCTGCTTTATTTGGATAAATTAGTTAATAATCAACCTATTCTTTTGTGTACTGACAGATGTTCAAAGTTTAGGTCATGTTGTCAGAGGTTTTTTGTTTGACTTGATTGACTAAATCAAATATTTCCCACAACACTTTAGTTAAGCATTACCGTAAATTTTGCTTATACTTGGGTTTGGGTATTTATTCACTCTCCTAACCCCAAGTTTAAAACTTTGGCATTTAAACCACACCATTTGTGCTAGGTATGAAATGAAATTTTATGTTGTTTCAACTTTTCAAAGATCAAATAAAAAAGTTCATAAAATAAAATAAAATTCAGCTTCAGATATTAACTTATTTCAAGTTTTGAAGTAGAATTTTTTTTTTTTAAAGATTCTTTGTGGTAAGATCTTTTTGAACATGCAAGACAAGGCTCAAAACCCACTGATGTTATCACTGGAACTCAAGAAAACGCATGAAAAACTAAAAAGAAAAAAGGTGCCGGATAGGAAGTCACATTAAGATCTGAGGCTATCTGCTTGGCAACTTATTGGGGATAGACATGTTGTCTAAACATTACATCACTTTTCCCACTGCTAATTAATTAGCAAGAGTAAAACGTTAATTAAAACAAGTAGTACACATACGCACTTCTAACTTTTAAAGATTGACCTGATCTGAAATTAAGCTCAATTAGAGCCAGTACTCTGTTGGCAAAGCAATGCATACTGAATAACCTCATGACTGATGTTGCTTCATCTATGACAGCTCTGATGTTTTGACTTGAGCCAAATGTGTTTTAAAGAAAATATTAACGCTGCCAAAGGACTAAGAAATAGGAAATGGATTTCTGAAGCTATGAAGACGGACTGAGTGATACAGAACAGAGAGTTTTGATAAAATCTCGACTATAAATGGAGTCTGGATGGAACTGATCTGGAATATCTTAACTTCTACTCTGGAAATGCAGATAATAAAGTCAGTTGCTTAAATCATATTTGCAGAAAACATTTAGCCATCGAGATTAATTACTTGGTATATATAATTTATGAGAATTACATGACATACAGAATAATGTGAAATTTGCACGCATGTTGTTTATTAGAAAAATCAATGCAAAAGAATGCATGAAGACTGCATAGTATAAAAGTAATTTGCATTCCAAATTTGCCAATAGTCACTATTGTTCGTGATAAAACACGGCTCAAAGGTTGCTCTTTCTGAAGCTGAGGCGAGCGAAAAAATTCAACAACAGGAAGCGGCGCAGGGCAGTCAGGGGAAATGCCACGGAGACCCGCTGAGAGTGCAGGCAACAGGACCGACACGCTTTACAAGGGCAACATCTTCACACAACTGCAGGCTTCATTTCACTAGGAGTGATTTCCTTCACAGTAATAGCCATTTGTATCATCAAAATGACCAGAAGTCAATCATTTTAAATGAGAGTCAACCTTCTGCAGCCATCTGAGCGATAGTGACCATTGATGATCCTGCAAAGTTAAACAGAGGTCAATCTTTTCATCTAAATGAGCAGAAATATGAAGCGACCACAACTGCAAAGGAATCCCACGAGGGCCATCAATATAGGGCTGAGAAACTAAATTTGAATTTTTCACTGAAATATTTTAATTATGTCCAAATAAAAAAAAAAAAAAAGGACATTTCAGTTAGATTAAAACACAATTGAACACCAGATTTTGAAATGAGAAGTCCACAAGATGGCGCAAAAAAAATGACTGAGTTATATTGGTTACCTCAAAGAACAAATATGGCTGTTAAAGTGCATTTATTTCTAAACTAAAATGACAAATTATAAAATCAAATCCTTAGGCCAGGTCCAGTGTTAATATTCACACCGTTATTTAGTCCTAGTTTGTCTTTTGACGAAAACATCCTTTAAATTTAGTCAATATTTTTCTGTATTTATTCACTTTAATCAAATTTATTTTGACCCAAATAGCATGGAATGTTATAGTTATATTACACTGAATATTTTAGTTGATGGGCATTACAAAATAAACCAAATATCCACACATTTTATATATTAATTCAAACATAAATCAACAAAAACGTGAAAACTGCTCTTGTTTTGAAACCCTGATCTCATGAAATACTAATGTTACAAAAGTGCACACTACTGTAATAATGATTTATTTGATGCTTTAGTGATTAACGGTAAAATTTCAGTGTGATGTTACAAAAAAGATCACATTCACAATGTGACTTTCCATGAGCACAGTTAGTTTCATGATGAAGAAAAGTTGTAATATTATGTTTATGTTGTGTATTTGTCTAATTAACTTCTTAAGGGTACAGGATGAGTTTGGAGGAATGAATTAAACTGCTAGTAAAGCCCTTCAGTTTACCGGTGTTCAGCAAGTGGTGCAATTACAATATTGACTATTATTGGATTATTTGAAATACTAGAACTGTCCTTTAAAATTTGTAATCAACAGTATGGTTTTAATAAAAATGGTTGCTAGTGCTTGCTACACATCTTACAAATTTGAATGCACAGTTTTTGCATTATTATTTGCATTTTCATCTTAAATACGCAGATGGATTTTTAATTGGACAGTTCTACAGCTCACAATTCAATATTTCCTGATTTTCAGTTTGCCTAATCATAACAGTTCGACAATCATTGGAGAATCAAAGGGTGTTGGTTCACTTGGCGAGTGGGTATTAACAGCCACAATGACAAAATCATCTATAGTTTTATGAAAAGCAACTGACAAATGAGAAATACAAAAACGCGAAGCAAGGTCGCAGTAACAAGAGTATAGTACAGGCTAGAAGAAAAAAAAAATGACAGAAATATTTTTCAATATATAAATATGCAAAGGCTAAGTAATAGTGACAAACTACAGTTTTTTTTCCCCCCAAATATACAGCATGTGACTTTGAAATGATACCTGACAGATGGTAAAGGTGTACAACAATAAAAAATGGCAACTATGACTTCAAGTCAATACTTAGAAGTAAAAAAACAAAAAAAAACAAAAAAAAGCCTCCAGCATATCTGACGCAATTCCCAAAAGACTGATGGTCTTTCATAACGCATCCAATGCATGAAATGTAAGAGGACAACTAGCACCATTGTAACTCAAGGACTAATCATTTTGCACTCACGAACAAAAGCAACTTTCTGGAAAAGAATATGAGATGAACAAATGAGTCAAACCGGGCTCTGTGCGATGACTCTCCGCCATTGTGTTGGCACCCACCTAGGTTCATTATTCACAACCTCATCACTACTGAACACCGGACAATGGAGTGTTTTTCCCATCTCGAGGGAAGTCGCTCTGCTCCCGTAGGCCATTCGCACTGGTGGAGCGTGGCGCTGCAGCCATGTTACAAGATGGACTTTTTAACCCCCTCTAGAAAGTGAGTAATGGGCCATACAGGTCCAGTCGATGATTTCCATTAAGGGGGTTTCTAGCAGTCCTCTGGCATTAAAATTGCAGGGTTTGTGTTTCACGCCACTCAGAACTCACCATCTGGACCGGGAAAGTCGGTGAGCAACAAATACTTAGGCTGTAGTGAATGAATGCAGATGTCAGGTCGACATGGTGAGAAACGCAAATTTAAACGCTCGTATTTCAAACCTGTGACAAGAGAAACCGGAAGAGTTTTATTTGGTGTTCTTAAGAGCAACGTACACAGGGGAGGAAACTGAGGAGTTTTGATATATACATTTCACGAGAACAGCGTGTGAGGATGAGAACTCAAAGATACACAATAACGTTCAGAGGAGACGAGTCAAACATCGGAACATAAGCCAGCAAAGTTTCTAGAAACAATCTCTGGACAAATGCCCTCAATCCTTTAGAAGATCAGATGGAAAAAAAATAGATAGGAGAGAGTGCTGCAGAGTGTCGTGTGAAATAATAACAAAGATGAACAACTTGAAAATTGAGTGCGCCGGTCCTGGTGCTTCATTACGTTCCCAACAGCGATGGGGTCTTTAGTTGGAGTCCCTGAAGAAACGAGGTCTTTGAAGAACCAGAGAAACTTAAAGGGGCATGAAACCCCGTTTCAGCACCGGTTAGTTCTTACCACAATTTTGAAAAATTCTACAAAAGTGGGGGTGGTGCACTGCAGAGTGGAAGGGGAAGAGTGGAGACGGGCAACACAGCTTCGGTTTGTTT